TGTATCTCTGTGAGTTCAAGGAGAGCCTGTGGTTACAAGAGAGCCTGTCTTGAAAAACCAAAAGCAAACCAAGCCAAACTAAACCAAACCAAACCAGTCAACCAAATAAACGAACCAGAGGAGGTATCAGGAAAACTGGTTATTTCAGAGATAGCCTACTTTGCATTTCAGCTTATGACATATTTCACAGCAAATCCTAAATGAATTTAATGCAAAAATGTTAACACTAGAAAAACTACAAGAATATTTAGACACGTATTAAACAGATACTTAGCAATGAAGTCCCTGTCAAAATGACTCTTCCTAGGTGTAAAAACATGGAAGCAATCATAATGGAAATGATCAGTAGATGTAGCTGTGTAGAATAACAAACTATAACTTTCGACATAAAGACTAGTTAGTATTGCTGGCAACACAAAGGGCCAGTGGTGAGGACCTCTTTGAGAACCCAGAGATTAAGAAACTGATGTTGGGCCAGCGAGATGGCTTCTGGTTAAAGGTGCCTGCTGCCAAGAAGACGACCCGAGTTCAGTCCTGGGACCCACATGGTGGAAGGAGAGAACTGGATCGCACAAACTGTCCTCTGACCTCCACGTGTCGGCCACAGCATGCTCACACATCAAATACATACTCGTGAAAATGTTCAAGACAGGGTTTCTCTGTGTAGCTTTGGAGCCTGTCCTGGAACTAGCTCTTGTGGACAGACCATGCTGTCCTCAAACTCACAGAGATCCACCTGCCTCTGCCTCCTCAGTGCTGGGATTAAAGACATGTGCCACCACTGCCCAGCATGAAAAATGTGTTAAAAGGGCCTCCTTGTTATAATCTATTAAAGTGAGTTGGACGTTGCTGTTTCTTTCCTTTGGGATGCAATGGTAAAAGCCAGCACACAGGAGGTAGGTTTGAGAGTGAAGTTCAAGAGAGTGCTCACTGACAGAGCAGCCCCAAAGTTGGAGGATGGAGGAGGACCTCCCCCTTGAGAGGCAGAGGGAGATGGAACTCTGAGTGATGGTTTCCCGGTTCCCAAACACACGCCAGAAACAGTCAAAGAGGAATCTGGAGGGACATGCTGCTAGCTTCCTGGGTGTCCACATCTTCTGCTTTACCCTTGCTCACTGCACCTCTGCTATATTCTCAGTTAACTTCGTTTTTTTAATACAGGGCCCATAAGCCCCCAGGAAAGCACTGTGCTTCTGAGCCACAACCCAAACCCTCCCTCCAGTTACTGAATGCAGCACAGGCTTGTGAGGACCAGCTCCTGCCATGTCCATTTTCATTGTTTTCTGGCTTTAAGAGGCCTTGAGTGGGGCACAGGTTCCTGAACGTACAGTCAAACTGCTTCACCTACCTACGATGGCAGCTGTTCCTGGCCTGGTACAGCAGGGGCCTGGCCAGGGTGTAGCCATTCACTGTCCTTTGTTGCCAGAGATGATGTAGCCAATGGTGGCCTACTGGGGCAGTAAGACAGACGCCAGGACTCTAAGAAGTGAGTCTCGAAGGCAGTCTACTGTCCCAAGATTTTGAACTCAATGGCATTTCTAGAGACAGAGAGGATGGCAATAGAGTGGACACAAAAGTCTTTAAAACATAATCCATGTGACCAAAAATTGTGGAGTATTTCGATTCCGATGTGTGGGACAGGTACACAGAATTACCATTGCAGGGAGAGTCTAAATTGGTTATTTCTCCCAATTTTGGTTTCAAGATCAAAGCTGATGTAAGGAAATTATTGAGAAGGACAAAAAAAAAGTGCGTGGAAAGAGCTTGTGAATGTGTGTATGTGTGCGAATGCATGCACGTGTGTGTGCGCGCATGCATGCACATGTGTGTGCTATGCATATCCATGTGTGAGAGTGTGTGTGTGTATGTTGTACAACAGGTGTCTTCCTTCTCAGCTTTCCACCTTATTTTTGAGACAGAGTCTCTCACTAAACCTGAAGGACATTCATTCTTGAGGTTCACCTCTTTGACTAAGCTGACCAGCAGGCTCCCAGGATCCTCTTGTCCCATGGCCATATCTGGCTTTTACTTGAGTACTGGGGATTTGAACTCAACTCTTCTTGTATTCACAGCAAGTGCTCTTAATCACTGAACTGTCTCTCTAGTACTGGCAATAGCTAGCCACCTAGTTAGTTGGTTTCTTAAGGAAAGGAAATAATAGCGAAGTTTTACTATATAAAATTGATTTTATTTGGCTACTACTGAAATAGAAAGTGTCCAGGAATCTCTAAGGATGAAATGCAAGACAGAACTGTAGGTCAGAGAAAAATGGAGACAGTGGCCAGACTACTTGAAGTTTAAACATATGGGTTTGTTGATCTGTAGTTTCCTCTCTGTGGGCCAATTACAAGTATATTCCATGGCATCTGAGCCTGCCCATAACTGGGATGTGGCAGTACTGTCAGCAGAGCTGAGTCACCACCCCAGCCAAGGCATGGCCCATCTGTGCTGGGTTCCTACCTCTCAGAAACTTTACATATGTGCTCAGATTTAACCTGCCATGTGAATGATGCTGTGATGTGGGCTTCCCTGACTGCTGCCTGAGATGATCAAGACTCACAGGATAATCCAGTCAGGACTTGATCATAATTCTAAATTTTCTTTAGGTCCCGATAAGATTATCAGTGCCCCCAACCAGCCAGAAGTAGCCTAGAATACTACTATGGACTATGGATATTTTCCTTTGTTTGAAAAAAAAAAAGAGGGCGAAGTGGTGTGGGATAATTGTCTGTATTCTGTCAATCATGTTTTAAATAAAAGCTGATTGGTCAGGCAGGAAGTATAGGCAGGTCAACCAGACAGGAAGTAGAGGCGGGGTGATAAGAACAGGAGAATTCCAGGAAAGAGTAAGCCCATTCCTCCCAGTCCTGCCCAGATCACTGAAGAAGCAGGACCTACCCCAATGAAAAAGGTACTGAGCCATGTGGCTAACATAGATAAGAATAATGGGTTAATATAAGTTACAAGAGCTAATAAGAAGCCTGAGCTAATGGGCCAATCAGTTTATATCAAATGTAGACTTCTGTGTGATTCTATGGGGCATGAGGGCTGTGGGAATGGGCAGGACAGAAACCCCAACAAGCAGACCCATCATGTTACAGAATGGTCTTCACAGTCTGTTCACCTTAGTCCTCTTGGATCAAGAAGACAGTTGGAAAGGTAGTGGTGGCTGTGAAGCAGGCATTGGTTTTGTTTTTACATCTCAATTGGCTGTTTTCTTGGTATAACTGGAAGCCAAAATCTCAGCACTGATGTCAATTCTAACCACTGTTTCCTGGGAAATAAAACCCCAGCATTTCCTTGCCCAGGGCTTCCGATAGCATATATGAATCCTTTTAGTATTAATCACAAATGCATATCCAGTCTAGACAGGTCAATGTAATCCTCACCCTTATCCACTTTGAGAAAGAGGTGACCTGGATCTAGGAGGTGACAAGTGGGACGGGAAGGACCACTGCTGTTCTCTATTACAAAGACACATCTGCACCCCAGACTGGAGAAAGGGGTCTGGCATGTGCATGTGACTGGTGGCTAGGTATGACTACATAGCTGATCATGATAAGGAGAGACTTACCAAAGTCCTGAAACCATTTCTGATATATAAATATCAATGTACTGTTACACACAGGTGCTCAGTAGCAAGGTCTAATATTGAGTCTTATCACTACTAAGCTGTTCAAGGCCGGAGAAGCATCAGAGACACCTGACAAAGGCTGCCTTATGGTGAGTACTCCTTACTCTGTGGGTGCTGCCAGTTCTGCACCTCTGTTCGCCTCCACCATCGCAGGTGGTACTAAACCTCAACTTAATTAGTTTCCCCATCTATCACAGTTCCATTTTTGTGGCTGTGATAAAAATGTCCCGATCAAAAGCAACTTAGGGGAGAGAGGGCTAATTTCAGTTCACAATGCCAGATCACAGTCCATCATAGAAGGGAGTCTGTGTGACAAGCACCAAGTCCCGTCACTCCATAGTCAAGAGCAGAGAGATGAATGTAAATACGCTTATTCCTTAGCCCACGCTCTCCATTCTCACATGGCCTAGCACCTAAGCCTAGAGAGTGGAACCACCCACAGTGGACACTCACTGATGTGATCAAGACAACCCCCATCCTCACTGCACACACATCCACAGACCACTTGTTTTAGACACTTTCTCATTGCGACTCCTTTCCTAGGTGCTATCAGATTCTGTAAACCTGAGAATGAAAACCACCCACCCATCACAACCATCCTGGCTCCTGGGCTCCAGATGGGACACAGGGGCTCTCAGTGTGGGTGTGGCTTAGGGTCAAGCTGCCACAGCTCTTTCTTATACAGTCACAGAGCAGGCACTCAGAGTGGCTTCTGAGGGACAGATGGGACAAGAAGGAACCCAGGGACCAGTTGCAAACAGGCAACAGTTGCTTTCTCAGTACAGAGGCAGAAGGGTCCCCTCTGTGAAGCTGCTCTGTCAGAGATGTGGGTCTTGGTTGTATTTTGTAGCTTAGGATAAGAGACATTTTCTTCTTGCTTTGAAAAAGTCTGGAGGCGCGTGCATTTTTAAGTTTGTCTGTGGCCTTAAGAGCTCCCTTCCAGACAAGCTCACCAGAACCGGGCAGCTCGGCGGCTGGGAGAGGAGCACTGACTCTTCCCGGCTTCCTGGCTTTGGCTTTAAGGATGGTGCTGAAAGCACACGAGTGCCAAAAGTGCCCAGCAGCAGCTCTGGGCAGCGTAGCAGGGCTTCACGACCCTTGGAAATATGAGACAGTGCTGTTGGAACTGCACGGCTGTCAGGCTGAGCTACTGCTGAAACACACAGGCGGGAGCAAAACTCTCTCACTGGGGTATGGCGAGCCAGCGAGACACCCGGTACCAGCTCAGGACGGACACACACAAAACACCTCGCTTAGTGTGTGCCACGGCTCCCGGGCAGGGATGCAAGCGAGACTTTGTGGCACAGCACCACCCAAAGTCCAGTGGGAAATGGCGAAAGAAGCATCCAGAACACCATCTGCTTACCAATTTTACTTCTTGTTTGATTTATACTTTCTCCCAGAGCCTTTGCTTCAGAAAATCTGGAGAAAAAAAAACAAAAACAAAAATTTTTATTTTTTTCTAGTCATCCTGTGTTACATGTGAAAAAGGAGGAGACGTCTGAGAGGCTGCAGGGATGTGATAAAGAAAAGGGAGAACCGAAGTGAGCTTGATATGGTGGCCTCGTCAAGTTAGAGCAACGCCGGGCGGGGGCACCGCCTGTACGTCCAGAGGGCCTCGTAAGCTCGCAGTGCCCACATGGTGGGTCACAACCACCTGTGACTCCAGTTCTGGGGATCCAACACCCTCTTCTGGCTTCTGGAGGTACTGTATGCATTGCAGGCATGAGGTGCATATACCTTAAGCAGGTGAAATATCCATACACACAAAATAACAATTAAAAATGTTCTTACATTAATTAATGAATAAATTCAATTTCTGATGCTTTATAGTGACAGGGTACCAGAATGAAGTGTGGTGATAAAGTTTCTCTGCCATGATCTATCAGCCATGTGCATTCTTAAATAACATTGCTTTTTTGACACACAATAGCAGAGGTCAGCCATTGACGACCAGTCATGAAACAAAGCAGGGCTACTTCCTGATTCTGTGAATAAAGTTTTATTGAAATGTGTTCACCCATTCATCACCACTTCATCTATGGTGGCTTGTAAGTAAGTTACCACAGCTGTGGAGAGGCTGTGGCAGGGACTGTGTGGCTTGTGGAGAAAAACACTTCTACTGCTTGACCTTTTATAGAAAATGTTTGCTGACTCCTGTCGCAGAAGACTATTAAATCAGATTTTAATAATACAGTTTAAGAGAAAAATAATGCCCAAACCAGGAATAAATACATTCTGAAATGCAGATCTGTCTAGTCTTTTCTCTAGCATATTTTTACAGTGAGGTTATATGTATGCATAAGTACAAACACATATATAATAATGTAAATAATATGTAAGATTTTATCCCCTGATAGTTTTCCACTTAGCATTGTAACTTCTTCCCTACATCATTAGGAACTCTTATATTTGGTGGGTAAATACTAGTCCATGAGGTTGTGCTGGTGAACAGTCAGGGTGCCCTTAAATTTCAAAAATTGTGCTGGTGTGCAGTCAGGGTGCCCCTACTTTTCCTTTTTTTCCTTTTTTTTCCGAGACAGGGTTTCTCTGTAGCTTTGGAACCTGTCCTGGAACTAACTAGCTCTTGTAGACCAGGCGGCCCTCGGACTCACAGAGATCTGCCTGCTTCTGCCTCCCTGGGATTCTGAGTACTGGGATTGAAGGCATGCGCCACTACTGCCCAGTGCCCCTTTGTTTTCTAACAGACATGTGACATCCATGATGAGCTGAACCCTGCACTGAAGAAATAGTACAAGGTACGAACCGTGGAAGGAATGAGTGGCTCTTGCGGGGACAAAGGTCATCACACACAGTGTGGGAGGCATGGTGCTAGCAGGGTGGCATGAGGTGGTTGCCCATGTTGTGTCTCTATCATGAAGCAGAGAGACTGTGATGCCTGGCTGGCTTGCTTTTCATTTTCAGTCCAGGATCCCAGTCCAAGGGATGGTACCACACACAGTCAGAAGGGGGGGTCTTCCTCAGTTAACACCTGCAACAGACACACTCAGAGGTGTGTCTCCTAAGGGACTCCAAGTTCAGTCACAAGGACAACAAAGACGAGCTACCACTCAAGAGTTCATGAGATACTAGTTGATCTCTCACCCCTTCAGTCACGAGAGTAAAGGGGTGGCCAAACCCTACGAACAAAACACAACCAACAGCAACTACAACAACTACACAATATATGGACATAGTACATATTCCACCTTGGATGCCAATAGCCACACTGTTTCAGTTTGTCTAGGAAGGCGTCCATCTATGTGTAATGTGTAGTCAAAACACCTTCATGTGGAAGCTTGCAGTGACCTGGATTTTGAAGATACACTGAATTTTAGAAAACTTTTTATTCTAGAAGTTTCCAAACACATATAAAACCAAGCATGTTAGGCTAACTCCTCCCATTTTAATGCCTCAGTTTCCTATTGTCCATCTTAATTCAACAATCTCTTTTTTCCCTGTCCTCTTTCAACCTCCCCGAAACTCACAGGGTTCCAGAGAAACTCAATTATTTCATTGCATGGTCCGTAACTACTTCATCTGCATAGAGCTGCATTGATGAGTGGGAAGTAGGGCCAGGACACCACCAGTGCTCTGTGCTTGCTAGAAAGGTGGTGACAGTCTGCCATTGCTGTTTTCTGCATCTGTCTGTTTGGCCTGGGACTAAGACAGGGAGTTCCAAGTAGAGAACTGCATTTTCCTACAAGGCTGGGTGGCTAAGGACTCCACCCCTGACTCCCAAATGAAGGCTCCTCATAGGTCATTTATGTCTTCTCTGTAAGGGCCTGTCACCCTACAGGAACCAGTGCTGAAGCATCTGGTAAAAGCCAGGCTTGATCAGCTCAGCAGAGTTCGTGGGAAGTGTGGACTGAAGCCCCTTGTGCCATGTGTATGGATATTGACCACCACCAGGCAGGACAGGATCCTTGTGGGGTATGCTGAGCTAGGAGCTGGGGTCATGCCCTGGAAGCAGTCCCACAGACAATGGAGGTCCAGTGATGTAGGTGGGCTTTCTGTCTATGTGTTACTTTCATTGGTTAATAAAGAAACTGCCTTGGCTTTTGATAGTACAGCAGCTTAGATAGGTGGAGTAGACAGAACAGAATGCTGGGAGGAAGAAGGCAGTGAGGCAGTCGCCATGACTCTCCTCTCTGAGACAGCTGCAAGTTAGAATCCTCCTGGTAAGCCACCACCTCGTGGTGCTACACAGATTATTAGAAATGAGTTAGATCAATATGTAAAAGTTAGCTAATAAGAGGCTACAGATAATGGGCCAAGCAGTGTTTAAAAGAATACAGTTTCCGTGTAATTATTTCAGGGGTAAAGCTAGCTGGGAGCCAGGTGGCGGGACACAGTCCCCTAAGACTCTGCACTTCTTGGAGGCAACAGCAAATCTTAAACAGTGTCCTTGGTGCTTGGGTGCTAAGAGTCCTCAAGTCAATTTCAAATAGGCCTTCTCAAACAAAATAGTTCTTTGAGCAGAGTTTTTGTTGTTGTTGTTGTTTTCTTTCTTTCTTTTTTTTTTTTTTTTGTGTGTGTGTGTGTGTGTGTGTGTGTGTGCCCGGCATCATTTTAAAAACCAGGGGTTTCCGTGAAGATTCTAATCTAGTCTCTTCTAGTCTCTGCCCGCAGAGTTTATAATTCTAGTTCAGCAGACAAAGCATAAATATAAACATCAAATGGAAAAATAATAAAGGTTAAACTTGAAGTCTAACGGGAACAGGGGAGCTCCTATTTGTCATGGGTAGCATTTCCAGATGGCACCTGCAATTCCCCCCAACACACTTCTCCTGTTGCTTGTACATTGCTGTTTTGTTCTATGCTGGAAGGACCCAGTGGAGTGACTTAGCTCATGTTATTAACGCCTTGACTTCCAATTGCAGTTCGTCTCCCTGCTCATTTCCTTTTTTGTTACTCAGTGGGGACTCAGTGTCTGAAGGGTTTGGTTTGTAAGAAGTTTGACACAGAAGAAAAGCTCCCCATGCTTAGCCTGGCCCCGGTATTTACAGAATGTGGGTCGTTACCTTGCTCCCTATTATATAGTAGGAAGACAGCTCAGGCTTCGAAAATAGAGTGCTTACGTATAACAATTATGTTCCCCTGGAAAAACCTCCAATGAAGAATGGTTCATATGCTAGAGGTCAACGAAGGGCAAATGCTCTGCTAATGTGACATCTTATTTCTCTCATCATGTACAGGCAATAGAGCCTCCCCCAGATCCGCGAGCAGCACTCAGACATGCTAGAGAGTCCATGCTAGAAGTGTATGGGTGAATAGGGAACTGTCTCCTACTAGGCAGCATGGGACACAGACGCCACCATGTGCCCTCCTGAAACCCCAGACCAGGAAGTGAAGAGAATCACGGAGGATTCTGGGCTACCAACAATGCCGCCATTAGGGATAACTGTATCTTGCTGTGGGCTAGAGGAGATTAGTTTAGTGTCAGGCAAATCCAGTCTCAACAGGACGACACACCAACACCATCCACCACAGAGTTGATATATGTGAAACAGCGAAGTAAGGCGGGAGACCAGCCCGGTTGGTCCTGGACGCTGGGATACTGGAAGGTGAGGGGTCTGGGAGCGGGAAGAAACTGAATGCCAGCCTGACCCCAGACCTCTGGTCTGGCAGAAGTCTTCTGCCAGCACTTAAGGATGTGGGTCCTCCCTGCCACTAGGAAGCACTGGAGCAAATATTTCGAAGGGATCAGGATTACTTGAGTATTTCTAGGTTAGGGCCCCAGGGAAGTCACTCCTCTGAGCATCTGGGGATTTATTTTCTCTCAGTCTCTGCTGTAGGCACCTGCGCGAATGACTGGATGTGTACATGCACAAGTATGGAAAGCACACCTCTGGGCGAGCTGTGAGGATAGTTCCAGAGAGGTTAACTGAGGAGGGAAGGCCCTCGCTCCAAGCCGGCAACATCTTCGAACAGGTGGCCTTGGTTTGAAGATGTCCTGGAAAAAGGCAGCATGAGTGGCTGCCACTGACAATCGTCCACGACGCTAGGCTCCCGCTTCTTCTGCCTTCCAACACGGACGCACTACCAACCACTCTGTGGCATCTCCAGGCTGTGGGCGTGGACGAGGTTGCTGAGTCATCTGACTTTGTTAACTGGATTCTCAGCCTCCTCAGTGCGTGATGGCCCCTGTTGGACTCCCAGACTGTATTGGGTACCCAATGTAACAATTTCCCTTTGTGGTAATGCATTCAGTCTATTCGCTGTGTTCCTCCAGAGAATCTTCCTGGCACAATCTCTACCAATTGAATAGTCTCTGTGACAGGGAGTAAGAGTGGTGGTCCAGAGAGAAGTGGGGCTCCAGGTGCCACCCCACGGCCTCTTGACATGAAGCAGCTTCTTAGTGACTTCGATTATATTAACTTAACAGAAGTAGAATTACCCTTTTAGAATGGCTGGTCTTCTGCTTTTCCGTTGGATCTATTTATTTATTTCAGAGAGTTGACTGGTCTCCGGTCTTCCCATTGGATCTATTTATTTCAGGGAGCTAGCTGGTCTCCGGCCTTCCCACTGGATCTATTTATTTATTTCAGGGAGCTGGCTGGTCTCCGGCCTTCCCACTGGATCTATTTATCTCAGAGTGTTGTGTGAGGCATGCTAGTTCCTTTGTTCGATGGCCAAGAGGAAGATGGAAGCGCCGGAGCACTGGTCACCATGGGCGAACAAGATGTGCTTCAAGTTAAATTCTGACAACTGCTTCGGTTATCAGAGCTCTGCCGACTGGATTCAGGACAGTTTTGCATGCAGAAGCCTCTGAGAGATCCACACATGCTCGCCCTGGTAAGCCATGACCCACCTCCCCATCAGATGTAAGTCCAAGCCAGCCAGGAGCCACGATGGTTTCAGAGAAGAAAAATGAAGTATGTCTGCCGTGGTGGTGGCTTTTAAGTCTGGGTGCACAAATAACATCAGTGTGTGTGTGCAGGCATGGACTGAAAACAGCTTCAGGTATCATTCTGTTAGCACTGCCACCTTGTTTTGAAATAAGGTCTCTGGTTGGCATGGAACTTGCCTAGTAAGCTGGGCTAGTGGCTACTAAGCCCCATGAACCCAGCAGTCTCCACCTCCCCAGCTCTGGGATTATAAACATCGTCCTCTGCACCACTGTGCTCAGCTTTCATTATCATCATCATTATCATCATTATTTTAGTTAATGTGGGATCTGGGTATTGAACTCACACTCTGACGCTTGCCTGGCAAGCACTTTACCGACAGAATCATCTTCCCAGCTCTATTGATTGTTTTAAGGGACGCCTTCGAAGGCTCTGGACATCAAAGTTCCTGAACACTGTGGCTCAGTGGTTTCCAGATCAGGTTGTTAGTGGAATCCATTACAGAAAAAGGATGCTCAGGCCACACCTAGTTACATGAGTGTCTGGGGAGTCTCACCCAGGCTTAACTGTGTTTGGTATTTCCTTGGATCACTAGGAATTCATGACTGTGAGCTGGCAAAGAAGCCTCAAGGCTGGGTGGAGAACTTTCTTAGAGGAGGAAGCAGCTGCCATCTAGCTGACAATCTTGTTTCCAGATACCCAAGGAAGGTGGCCTGCTCTACCACATCCCATTGGCCGTATCAGCAACGCGAAGCATGCAGGGGAGCAGAAGCATCAGCAGGTTTGAAATCCCTCTGGTCTCAGATGCTAAAATCAAAGTCAGTGTGTGTGTGTGTCCATGCTTCTAGGAGAGTCTTCGGCTCTCTTCAGGCTCACACACCCACCTCGCCTGATTTTGGTCACTGATTGCTATTTAGCACCCCTTCCTGCTTCTATTCTTCATGTGTATGTGCACATGTGTGTATGTTGGACGTGAGTGCCTGTGTATGTGGGGTCGGAGGAGGACACCAGGTGTCCTGTTCAATCAGTCTCCACGTTATTCCTTTGAGACAGCATCTCTCCCTGAAATAGGGCTGTGCTGGTAGCCAGGAAGCTCCAGGAATCTTCGTCTTTCCACCCCCACAGCAGTGGAGTGAGAGGTACTCATGTGGCCAAGTCCAGAACTTTACATGGGTGCTGGAATCTGCAATCAGGCCTCGTGCTTAAATGGCAATCACTCTTAGCCAGTGAGACATCTCTCTCCCCCTCCCACCCCGCTGCAGACCTTCATTTGTAGGGTACACTCGGTGGCTATTTTTGTATGACAGTCTCTGGTTTCAGGCTAGTCCATCTGTAAGGTTTTGGAACTGTGCGCCTTCCTGGTGTCATGCTTTTAAGATCTATCCTTGTTGATATGCAAGTATCCAGTCCACCACTCCACCCCCACTACCATACTGCTTCCTAATCCATGGACTTTCTGTTATATCCCCTATCAGAAACTCAGCACGGAACCCAGAGTATGCTCAACTACCCCAGCTACCGCAGTGCAGCCATGAAAGTTCTATATGCCCTTTGGGGAGCCCAGGTAGGATATTTACCCCACAGTGGAGTTGATAGGTCACAAGGTGCACACACTTCTCTGGACTGAGAGGGTCTGGACTGCTCTCCAGAGTTCTGTATATGAACTGCATTACTGGATTCCTGCAGAGCGCTGAGATCTGCTCCCGCCCTGGGGAAGCAGCTATCACTTTGGGTTTGTTCCTTGGTCCTTCCCAGTCAAGTCTCTCATCCCTCCATGTAGCAGCTATGTTAAACCGTCATCTCTCTCCCCACACCTTTCATCTACTCACACTCTTGATTCTACCAAAAATATGTAGGATTTAGAAATGCAATTTTGTCTATACATTAAAAAATGTGTATGTGTAGACTAGAGACCAATTACATTGTTCTTCTATTACTTTTTTTTGAGAAGCTAAACCTGAAACTCATTTATTTAATTAGATTGACTGCCATCAAGCCCCAGAGAACCTTCTCTTTCTTTCTGTCTTCCCAGTGCTGGGATCACAAGTACAAGGTGCTGGTGATTGGACCTCAGATCCCCATGGGTACACAGCAAGCTCTCTACCCACTGAGCTATACCCCAGCTTGCCTAATTCTCCCCTGAAGATGAGGAAGACATTTAAGAGTCCTAGGCTTATGAGAACACATACAAAGTCAGCATTGTCCATGGAGCTAATGCTGGCAGTGGCAGACCCTGACCTACACCTGGCTTACCCAGTAGTTCTGGGATGGTAAAGCTCACACATGAAGGAGGACAGGGTGCACACTGGAAAATGTGAAACTGTAGACCTCAGACCTTTCTTGCAGACATTAGACTGAGTAGTTAGAAGGACAGTATAGGAAGTCTCGGGACTGGCCTGCGTAGACCTGTGGGAGGCTGCTCTCTGGCCGGATCTTACCTCTGCTTCAGAATCTGTCTGTTGTCATCGATGGTGACACTGTCCGCGTGGTCCCTCTTGAAAATTTCAAAAGCCTCCTGGCGTCCCAGTGACATCTCCTTTATCATTCCTGTTTGGAGACACAGGGAGTGACCTCAGTCACATCATCAGGATTCAGACCATAGAGCTGGCCTTGGCAGAGAGGCTGTGGCCAGACAGGTGGGGCCTGACCAGAGACTGTGTCTGCCAGGCCACAGGACTCAAGGTGGGGGTGGGGCCTGGTCAGAGGAAATGAGAAGCAGGCCTCTAAGCCCCAGATGGCGAGCACATCTGTGAATCTACTTCCTGCCATCCCTTGGTGGCACAGCTCTGCCTGGTTTCCCCTTACGCCCCATCTGGGTCGTTAAATTCCTCTTGAATTTCCAGGCATTTCGTAACACTAATTAGAGTCCAGATGAAAGCTACAGAATCTAGAAAGTTCTGCTCTTAGCTTCTAGCTTCTGTTTAACGATCCAGTTTTACTTCCTGTGGCTGGTGAAGAGGGTCCTGGTCTTTAGCCAGGAGTTAGTTATATGCTTCACCCCAAAGCCCAAGGTGGGAGGTCCCTAGTTCCTGTTCAGCTCGAATACCCCAATTTGCCACTGCCACTTGCAGGCCAACACTCACCGCCTGGATCTACTCTCAGCTCAGCCTCAAGAAGGAGCCTTTTCAGAGGGGACGGGTGGCTTACCGTGCCAGCCTCCTCCCTGAACAGCCCCCCCCCCATCTGCCTCTCCCCTGGGCAGCTTCCAAGGGCAGCGGTCAATGCAGGCGTCTACCTGCATTCCTGGAAAACCTGTTACAGCTAGGTTTTGGAGAAGGCTACAGGCTTTTGTCTTCTGAGACAGGATCTCACGTAGCTCAGGCTGACCTTGATCACGCTACACAGCCAAGGATCACCATGCACTCCTGACCTCCTGCCTCTGTCTCCCAAGTATTGGGGTTACAGGTGTGTGGCGTCGCACTTGGTTTATGCTAGGAGAGGCCCTCAGGGCTTAGTGCGCGCTAGGCTAGGCTGACCCTGATCAGCCCTGTGCACTGGCAGTTCCAGGATGCAGAGAAGTTAGGGATCAGGGTCTTAGTGTGATGGGGATGAACCACCTGGAGATGGATTCAGAGGACAGCTTATTGAAATGGCCGAGCTAGCTTATATAGCTGGAGTCTGTGTGTGTGTGTGTGTGTGTGTGTGTGTGTGGTCCAGGGAGGAAGCACTGCAGCTCCCGGGGGAGGGAAGAGGCACACTGACGAGAGGAGCACAGGGTGCTCCAAGCACATCAGCCAGATTATCAGACTTCCAGTCACATGATTGCTAAGAACTAGTTCTCTGGGGGCAGGGGCTAGGTGTGGGGTAGACAGGGCTGGACAGAAGCTTGACTTACTTTATTATCATGTGGCCTTTGTCTCTATGGAGTTGAGTAGGCCTAAGCAGCCCCACTCCTGCCGTGCTCTCTGGGAGATGTCCTAGGTTTGGACAATGTTCTACTATCCCTCATCTGGCTTGGGAATCCACACTAGGCCAGAACTCTTTCATTAAAAGAAAAAAATCTGCCATTCTCCTCCTCCCCACCTCCTCCAGGAGGCTCTTTCTCGTCTGTTTATCCGACACCTCTGCTGATCTTTGAAGAATCAGCCCGAGCTGGCTGTCGCCTCCACTGGAAGCTCCCCAGAGCCTCCCTGCCGCAGCCTTCCACCCATGACAGTCCAGCAGACACTGTCCGGGTACAGGGCGCCCCTTTTCAGTGAAGCGCAAATTCCTTCAGGGCCACAGATCATATCTGTATCTGACTCCCCAGTGTTCGGTCCACAGTCTGCACTCAGAAGATACTCTATCTATGTCTACTGGTTCAGGGCCAGGACCGAGGTGGGTGGGATGAGGTGTCTGTTGTTATGGTTATAGGAACACAACCCAGGGCTGGTGAGGCTCAAGGCGAAGCCTGGCCTTTGAGAGACACATTCTTAATGGCCTTATGCAGCAACCTGTCTTCCCTGGAAAGAACCTCTCTCTCCTGTCCTCAGCTCGCGGAAATGGACCAGCCCATCTGACACCAATTTTATGATTCCTGTGATAAAAATAGCAGCACGAGGACTGTCTGGATGGTGATGCGGTGATGTGCATGGTGCCCCACCCTCTTTAGTCACGGCTCGTTTCTGTCTCCATCTGCTCCACACACTCCTGGATCTGTCGGGAACTGGCTGGTGTGAAACTCACCGAGGTCAGCTCCAGCTCTGGAGACGGAGCTCTATCTCCTCTGTCTCCA